AAATATTTTAAAAAATTTATTTAATATTAGTTTTAATTATATATTATTTAATAAATATTTTATTTTTTAATAATTATAAAAAAATTATAACTATTTATATATTAAAATTAATTAATTTCAAAAATTTTTATTATTATTCCTAATATTTTATAATATTTTATGTAATTATAAATAAAATTTACAAATTTTATATTAAATTTTAATTTTAGCTTAGAAAAAAAGAGTTAAGCTTATAAAAATTAGAAATAAATATATAAAAATAAACTAAAAAAATTTTAGTAAGTAAATATTCTTATTAAATAGTTTGAAATATTATATTTAATTTTAATTTTTTTTAAATTTGAATAAAAGTTAAATAAATATTATTAATTATTTTTATAAAATGAATTTGTTTAATTATTAGTAACTTTAATTTTCTTTTATTATTTTTTTTATATTATTACAAATTTATTTAAAATTTTGAATCAGTATAAAGAAAATTTAAAATTAAGAATTTTGAATTGAAAATAAAGATAAATTATTAAGAATATCAAAATAAAAATATGTTTATTAATAAAAAATTGTTATTTAAATATTATATTATAATACAAAAATAAATAAACTTAAAAATAATTTATTATTTTTTATTTTATATTATAGATATTTGAATATTTTTGTAATAATTAATTTTATTTAAAAGTTATATTTTATAAATAAATAACAAATATTTATATATTTAAATTTTAACTTTGAATAATTTTAGTTTTAGACTTGAAATAGTTTAGTATTTTATAATATTTATAATAATTTATTATAGAGCATTAACTAAATAATAATAATAATTAATATAGTAATAAAAAATTATTATTAATAGAATTATTTTAAATTTATAAATTTTATTATATATAATATATTTAATTATAAACTTATTTTAGATTAAACTTTTTTATATTTAAAAAATTATTTTATCAAAATATTTTTTACTATATAAAATAACAATATAAATTAATATAATTTTAAAAAATTAATTATATTAAATATTAATTTGAGATTAAATAATTAATAGTTTTTATATTTTTATAAAATAATAAAATTAATATATAATAAAATTTAATAATTAAAATAATATTTAATATTATATTTTTTATTTTTTATATATTATAATTTTTTATTTGTTAAATAATTAATAATAATTAAGAATATAAAATATAATATAAAAAATAATATAATAATAATAATAATATTTTTTAATCTTATAATATTTAATATTATTTTAATATAAATATTATTATTATAATTATTAATATTTATTTATAATTTTAATATTTATTTAATACTTATTTTAAATATTTTTTTATTTTTTTATATTTCTTTATAAATTTTATAAAAATTTATAAAAGTTAATATTTTTCTAAAAATTTATAAAATTAATATTTTTCTAAAAATTTATATTTAATATATATTTTTATAAATTTTTTAAATTTAATTTTAAGAATATTTTAATTAAATTAATTATACAAACTTATTTATTACTAAACTTATATTATAAAAAGTTTGTATAATTAATAATTATAAAAATATATATTTAAATATAAATTTTTAGCTTATTTAAAGTAAAAACAATAAACTAAAAAAATATTAAAAATATAATTAGTATATAAAATCTAAAATCATTAAATATTTATATTTTATAAAATATATAAATTTCTTTTCTAAGAGATAAATACAAAATTTAATCTATAAATAAGTTAAAATAGATTTTTTCTAAATAGATTTACTGATTAAATTTTGTATTTATTTCTTATTAAAGAAGTTTATATATTTTACAAAATATAAATATTTGATAATTTTAGATTTTATGTGTTTTACAAAATATAAATATTTGATATCTTTAGATTTTATGTGTTATAACAATTAAAAGAATATAATATATACTATTTAAAATTATCAAATATTTATATTTTATAAAATACAAATATTTGATAACTTTAGATGAAATATATTATAGAACACTAAAACTTTATTAATAAAAATATGAAAAATACAATTTTTTCTTTATATAAAAGTTTTTAATTTTACTATAAATATTTTTATTTTTATATCAAAATAATATTATAAATAATATTTTAATATATATTTTTTAGATTTAATCTGATAGTTATTTTAATTGCAAAATAATTGCAAAAATTTTTTATAATTAATTATAAAGTTATTAAAAATTTTTTTATAAATAAAATTAAAGTAAATCTAAAAAATTCAAAAATATATATATTAATGATCTTTACTATGAAAAACTTTTATAAGACAAGGCAACTATTTTATTTTTATTATATTTATTAATAAAATCATATATATGATTCCATAATTTTATTAGCCACTATATATTTTAATTTATATAATACAGATTACTTAGTAACCACAATTGGCCAAGTCTTTAAGATCTATTAACTCAACAATCTAAATTTTTCCAATCAAAAAAATACGTAATGTTATAGAGTAGTCAATAACGTATTGATTTACGTATTTCTAATTTTCTGAATTATTTCGAGTGCTTTGATATGATATGATTTGACTAAATGTCTCGCACTGTACTAAAATAAAAATAATAATTCATATATTTTCAAATTTTATATTTAATTTGAAAAAGTTTTCTATTTGCAAAATAATTTGATAAAAACTTGGAAATTAATCTGGAGTCCAATCAAATAATAGATTATTTCTGATAAAATATTGATTTTTTATAACGAAATAAAGATATCAAACATAATAAAATTAACATTTATTGAACAAATATACAGGTCTAAGCAACTTAAAAAGTAACTTGCCACTATGATTTCAACCTTGATATATGATAAATGTTCGATTAAAACAAAAGTTTTTTATCCTAAGCTATTAATAGGTGCTTTTTTTTTGTTAATATACAATGCGGGGATGTTTAACTTCGGAACCTTATGATAACTGCTCTGTAAACCAATTATTTACTTATTATAACATTAATATACTTTTTTGGCTTTTAATAAATTTAAATAGATGACATGTTTAGACACATAGTAAATCACGTTAAATCGGAGCTGCGTTAAGCCCGATTTGTTCTATTGTAAAGGAATTTCCAATTATAAATACTTTAATCAATAACCGGATTAAGTCTTAACCAGCTATCTCGATAAACTAGATAAATTTTATTCTTTTATTGCTGCGATTTAACGAGATTTACTGTATATGTACATATAAAACAAAACAATTATATCTCAAGGTATACTTCAGACTTAAATCGTAACCTTTTAATGAATAATTTTTTTGAAGCAAACTCGTGTGAATTAATTCAATACAACTAGACTTACGTATAGATAATTGAATATTGCGATTTGAAAATATATTATGTCATGAATAGCATTAGATATTGAATAAATACATGCCTTTGCAAATGGTTTCATAAATTTATTGATTTAAAACCTAGAGATTCAAATTGGTTTACTAATAATCGGTTTTAAGTTTATTTCTAAAACCATAATACGTATTTATATTTTTAAATTCATATAAAAACAGTCAAACTTTTAATAAAGCCGGCTGTTAGTAAAATAGAGGGACTCAATCTCTAGTAAATTAAAGTAATTCTGCAACATTATGTTTTAATCTACTTGGCATTTTATTAAAAAGTATAATTTTTCTTTGATTTTATTTTTAGTAAAATCGTTTTTTATAAGTAACCATTGTTTCTTTCAATTTGTGCTAGTTTTAAGTTTTACTCTCATAATGGTTTTACTTGAATTTGTACTAAAATTAACGATATTCAGCATACTATATGTCTATTTTTTCGCTATATAATTTGGGCTCAAAACCTTATATGCTTTAAAACTATTCTTTTTTATGATATGAAATAGATTCAGAACCTTATTAAGATACATACATTTCACACTCAATGCATCCGATTCATAATCATTTCAACTGAATGCTATTGAAATCATAAAAGGTTCATTTCACTACTATTATGCATGCTGAACTTTGCATTAATGCTAAATAAATATAAATTAGAACCATTTTATAAATCTAGAATAAGGATCATATGTCATTTGAGATGTATCCTTACAAGAAGGATTACTTACTTAAATTTGTGAAATTGATTATATTCGAAAAAATAATTCACAAATTTTACAAGGTCCAAAGCTCTTAATGTGGACCATAAAAAATTTTTAAAGAAATAATTGTGGACTAGAAAGTTCTGGCACTTAATAAAATATGTAGTTACCATAGAGCACTGCCTATAGCACCTCCGTATTATTCGAAACTGTTTGAGTTTGACATTGAATAGTATTAACACTATTCACTATTCACGATTCTAGCGATTTAATTGGTGAAGATTGAGGTACTTTACTCGGGAGGCCATTATAGGAAGGTGATACTGAAGGTAGTGGTCTACGGTAGTAGATTTAATAGTATCCTGCAATTATATGCTTCTTTAACTCAAAGCTTTGAAAAGTTAGGATGTTTTACGTAAAACAATACTTTACACTATCTTAATTTACTATTCAAAACGACAGCTTATATCGTATACATAAATATAATGTATTTTAATAGCATGAAATTTAGACAACAAAAAGTCTAGTAAATTAACTTTTTAGAGTTACGTAATCCGATCTCGAAGTGTTTCTTTAACGTTAAGATGATGCATTGATGATTACGATAATGATGATCGTAAAAAAACGAAATCTGTCTACTACATGTACATGTAATTAGTCAAACGGAATTTTATTGGTAGCAAGTTTTTGCTATCGCTATCTTTTTACTAGTGTGCTTATGCGGATTGAAGATCTAATTACGTACCCCTTAAATGTTTAACAGGCTGTGGTTCTGATTTTCAACTGATTATTTAGTTCAATATGCCGTTTTGGCTATTTTTATTTCAAAAAATTATTATCCCAGTAAGGTGTGTGTATTACTGTTTACTTGCTATTTACAGTCATTTAAAGAAGAGACAATTTGATGTCATATAGAAAAAAAAATTTTCTATTTAGACTTTAATAATGGAAGAGATGGATATTCATCCAAGACAACTATCAGAAGAGTCAGAGGAGTCAGAAGTAGATATGCTGAAGGATGATTTGTCTACTTTTAATATCAATCCTATTGGGATACAACTAGTTAATAACATGAATGAATTAAGTATTCAAGCACAAACAAGTGCTCATATAGAGCAACAACTTGAATCGACATTAAACAACAACAATCAAACAACAATCACTATAAATGGAAAGAATCAATTTACTGCGCTCTTTTCTATCACCAATCACATCGAGATCTTTGCAAACATTTGTAGTTATTTGGAACCCTTAGACTTGGTATTACTTCGATTGACTTGCAAGTATTTTAATAATCTTGTCAATTCGCCATTTGACTCTATAACACAACAAATTTGGAAACATTCACGCATAGAATCCTGTGAATTTTATCAATTGCCTCCACCTTTGGGAATATCTGAACAACTATATATTAGCATGATATATACTGATAGTGGGTGTCAGATTTGTGGCGATTTGATAAAGAGTGCTAAAATCTATTGGAATTCTCAAATGGTTTCTTGTGCTAGCTGTTTGAATAAGAATGTTATCAGGTAATATTTAAGATTAAATTAATATCTACTATCTATTTGGCTTTCAATAGACTTTTTATAAACTTTATTTTTTTTAACTAATAGCGAAAAAGCGCTTCGAGATGAATGGGAGCTCCCAGTAGCAATAATAAAAATTCTTATTCCTATTACCATACAAGATTTGTATGGCGACTATCTGCGTTATTATTGGACTCCTTCTGTTAGTTTCATAATCGAGGAGTTGATTAATCTGAAGCCTGATGAAGAAAAATATTGGCTGAAAAGTAAAGAAATTGAATACCAGTTTGCAATTATGACCAGTTTAGAACGTGAATACTGGGAAAGATGTCGATACATCAAAAAATATTACCCTACAGGCATAGAAACACGAAAAAGAAAATCCATTGAAAGTAAAGAGGAACAACCATCATCTCTAGATAATTCGAACCAACAATCAGAAATCTCACTTTATCCCACGTATTACGATTGGCTAACACAGCTTGATATCTTGCCAATATATAAAAGTGAATATACAAATGCATTGGAAGCTGCAGCTGTAAACGACGAGATAATAAACCAAAAAATTAATCAGGCTAAATATGAAAAACTCAGTAGAACCATAATCGAAGATAACTCGGTGTATCAACGATCGTACAGGAAAATTAAACCAAATTATCGTGAAGAAGACATACAACAATTGCCGAGATTCAGAAACGCTGGTTACTCTTTACGTGCTCGAGCCCCGAAATCATCGTCATCTTCATCTTTGAATAATATTTGAGTAGAATCTTTTTTAGTCGGTGGTAGAATTATATCGTAAAATTTTTTATTTCGACTCATTTGGACAGTATTTTTCAATTTAAATATAAATTACTTTATGTTGTGTATTTTGTTGTTAAAACATTTTCTCGGGGTAAATATAAAGAAGATTACTCGCTAAGAATATTTTGGGTAAAAATTCAATGAATTTAAATTTTTTTTAATATAACATTTGTTATAAATGTTCTAAAATTAATATTTTAATTTCTTATATTAAGGTTGCTACGTAAAAAAAGTTAGAGAAATCAAGTGTAAATTTATCGTTATCGAACAATGTAATTATTTTCTATTGAATATATACGACATGACTAAAAATGTTTTAAAAATCACGTTAGTAACAATTATTCTAAAAGTTATTTGAAAATGTTAACGTTAAGAAGTTAACCGTTTATCCAAATCTGAAAGCATCAATATGCTGGAAAAAAAAGTCGACGTGATCACATATATACAGTACACGATTTCAGGTTTATGGTATTCTTTTGTATCTTTTGTAATTTAAGATTTTTGACAAAAATTAACGTTAACGTAAATTCATAATAATAACGACAATAATAATAAGGTAACGGTAATATTTTGATACACCTAATCTATACTAAATTGAGTTTGTTGAAAAGAAATACGTATACGTAATTGTGGCGGCTATCGCTATCTCTATCTTATTGCATTGACATTTTAAAAATTATTAGATCAAAAATATAAATATTTTCATAGTAACAAGTGTGTAACATCATTCTTTGATTATAGCGATAGAATCGATGAATCATCAAATGAAACGTCCGAAAAGTTTGCCGCACTTTAGAATATTTAGCTGACGACAAACTCTTCAGAATAAAAGAAATAACAGAAACTCCAAATTCAGTAGTGACTATGCTATCTAGTCCTTCTGAATTTCGCGTTCTCAACAAAAATAGTTTTCACAACTACTAGTACATGTACTTGGAGATCTTATTCGTTTAATTGGTGGAGTTCTTATTACAGTGCCCGACAAAAGTATCCCCGCACCGATTATTTTTGATTGATCATGTGTAGGTCCCTGAAATTTTATTGCATAGTACATGTACATCACAAACACTGATCATTGTTCTTTTTTATTAATTGATAGATTCTATATCGGGTATTGCATGTTCATAAACTTTCATACTCCAAATACAATAAATCGGTCACTTTAGGA